TGTATGTGCATATATACAACATACATAAATACACACACACACACATATATATATACACACATGTATGTATGTATATATATATATGTGCGTGTGTATATATATATACATATATATATACACATATATATATATACGTATGTATACATGTACGGACGAGGCCACAAAAGACTTGTTCGGAAGTTTCCACGGTCGACGCCATTGCATGAACTCCTCGGATGCTTCCGTCGGAAGACTCCGCAACACCAAAACTCGAATTGCGGGACGGACTTTGAATCCAAGGCCCACGACCCTAAACCTTAAACCCTGAACCCCAGACCCTAGATTCTAAATCCAAAAACAGTACCTGCACCTGCCTGCACCTTAACTTGTAGACAAAAAACCTTAAGTCCTGTGCTTGGCAATCAGCTTATCTGGGAAGACACCCTTGGTCTCGGCTTAGTGAGTACTAGCCCCCAAAGAGAGCATTAGCGTTCTATAACGGGTTCTGTAAGGCGTTTTCTTTCAAAGGAGTCCTGAGAGCTCCTGTTCAGGGTACAAGGCCTTGGGGGCTTCTGGTGGAGAGTTGGCCGAGGGGTTACATGGCTTTGTGGTTTTTAGGATTGCGGAGTTGACTGCTTTGGGGTTGTGGGGGTTTTCGGGTGCAGAGTTGGCGGTGTGTCTGTTTCCATGCTCGTTATGAGTAGTATAGTTGGAGCAGGACGAGGGTTGATGTCTCTTCCCTCTGCAAGGTGACGAGCCGCCCGATGCCCCACCTCCTCCCGAAGAAGAGGCCGATTTGATGGGGTTCGGATCTAGGCCTAGGGCCTAGGGCCTCGTAGGTACATACATACATACATACATACATACATACATAAATGCATACCTTTATATTCATACATACACGCATTCATTCGCATGCATACACATGTGCATACACACATGGAGGCAAACATAGATAATTTGTTTGTCTGTCAGTCATGTGTCAGTGCATATGTATATTAAATGTTGACAGTATACACTTCTTGTGTTGCGGGGTGAGGGTCAAGAAAGCGGTGAGGGCTGCAGGGTTTGCAGCCGAACCTAGGAATGCTGCAGGACGACCGGCTTCCGTGATTTTCGAAGTTCAAGCATCGTCGCACTGCCTTGAAGTGCTCATCGCCCAGCACAGCGCCCTTTTGAATTTGGCAGACCCTCGTCCTACGGTGTCCTTCTTGCCATGTCGCGGGTAGACATCTGTCACGCAAAGTCCGGGAGTTTGGTGAGACACTTGCAGCGACCCTCGCTTGCAGCCGCAGTTGTGCTGATGCTGGCCATACCCTATCTCCTGCTTTTGGGCAGCGGTCGCCCATTCGATGTCGGGTTCATCGGACGTGGCACCGCAATGATGGGTTGCCATCCTCACAGAAGCGAAAGATCACGGATCTTCCGCCAGGTGGTGGTGGTAAAGCGCAAAAGATCTTCCAACCCCAAGAGCAATGGAGTGGGGAAGCGTAGAAGATCTTCCAGCCCCAAGAGTAATGGAGCTCCCTATCCCATGGTTCTTACATCAAAGATAAAGGGTGCCAAGTCGATGGCGAAGTTGAAGGCCTTGCTGGAGAACGAGCTGGACACACCTGACTTTAACGATATCCACATGTCGGCCACTTTTACCCGCCTGGCCTTCTTCAACAAGCGGCAGCGACTCTCAGCGAAAATCCCACTTTGGACCAGACTCGCAACCAGGCTTCGCATCATGATCCAGAAAGGCAGGATTACTCCAAGGGGGGCTGCGCATGTTTTGTGGGCAATGGTTAATGTCCACCAAAGCATGGGTACCAATATGGCTACTGCATTTGCACCACTTGTGCAGTGTGTGCAGGACAAGGCAGTGGACATGAATGCATTCGATCTGTCGAATAGTATCTGGGCCGCCGCAACGCTTCAGGAATCTCAGCCGCAGGTTCTCAAAGTCGTGGCATCACTCGCAAGGTGCATACCGCAGAAAGCGCATGAGATGAACCAACAGGACGTATCGAACTGCCTTTGGGCTGCTGCCAAGCTTCAAGAATCAGAGCCGGAGGTTCTTAAAGCCGTGCCGTCGCTCGCAAGGTGCATACCACAGAAAGCGCATGAGATGAACCAACAAGAAGTATCGGACTGCCTGTGGGCTGCTGCAAAAATTCAAGAATCAGAGCCGGAGGTCCTCAAAGCCGTGGCATCGCTCGCAAGGTGCACACCGCAGAAAGCAAATGAGATGAACCAACACGCATTATCGAACTGCCTTTGGGCTGCTGCCAAGATTCAAGAATCAGAGCCGGAGGTCCTCAAAGCCGTGGCATCGCTCGCAAGGTGCATACCGCAGAAAGCGCATAGGATGAGCCCACAGGACGTATCGAACTGCTTTTGGGCTGCTGCCAAGCTTCAAGAATCAGAGCCGGAGGTCCTCAAAGCGCTGCCTTCACTTACGAAGCGCATATCGCAGCGAGTGCAAAGAATGAATCAGGTGGATGCTCTGCAGTGTTTTGTGGCAGCTGCAAAGCTTCAAGAAATGACACCGGACGTGTTGAACTGCTTGCCAGCAATGATCTCCCAGATTCGTCGGACAGTAGCTGCCATGGATGTCCGCGAACTGCAGCTTGCGGTATGGGCAGCAGGTGAGTTGGGCCAGTACGACTTGAAAGCTGCATTGAATCAAGAGATCAAGCAGCGTCGAGAGCCAAGCAGCGACAAAGATCGTTGATTGCAATTTTGATCCAGCATGTTTTGGGCCGATTTTCAGAGTTATAGATGTGCAGGCCCCACGGTTGACGGGATGGCCGCCGCTGTGTACCACGGCCGCGGTGCATTGCACCGACACAGGACGGTGCCCTTCGGGAGCACAGCTGCCTTGAGTGCAGGGATCGAGTAGGCTGTGGTCGCTGCAGGAGAAATGTTTTATTTGGAGACCGTGGTACCTGGAATGCTTGCGGCAAAGGGTCGATCCGAGGTTTCAAGCATATCCGCACCACAAGATCAACCATTCTTCAAGTCTTTGCTGCAGCAGCACTGGTAGCAATCTTGTAGGCTAGGCTACGTCCTAAATCCTTAACCCTAATCCCAGCGGTGCGTGCCAGTCGCAACCACGAAAACTAGTCGCTTCGGCACTCCTGGCATTGGTGCACGCCTTGAGTATCCAGCCCAGTAGAGCTTCGGATGTGCCATGATGAGTTTTGCCACTTCCAGCACCATTACTAGGCTCCAGAACCCAAAATCCTGAGCCCTAAACCCTAAACCCAAAATGCTGAACCCTAAACCCTAAATCCTGAACCCTAAACCCTAAACCCAAAATCCTGAACCATAAACCCTAAACCCAAAATCCTGAAAGCAGGAGCATGAGGAAACCGAGAGTCAAAGCCCCAAATCCTAAACCAAAAGCCGCGAGCGCTTTATTTCCCCTTCTTGGATGGTGTCATTCAAGGCCCGGGCGCTGGTGCTCCCTGAGGCGGAGCCAGGGCTTCCATTTGGGGTTTAGGGCCATTTAGGGGTTTTGGCAGTTTAGTCGGGGTTCAGGGCAAAGAATCAGAGTTTCGGTTTGGGTGCAAGTTTCAGGAGCTGGGGGCGGCCATTGTGAGTGGAGGGTTTCTGTTTCGGAAGGGGTGGGGGTTTAGGCAGGTTTCTAAACCAAAGACCCGAAGCCCCCAGAAGCCTTCCCGACGAAGCTGTTTCAGATTCCAAAATGGAGGCAATGCTTTAGGGCTTCGGGTGTAGGGTTTAGGGTTTGGGGTTTTGTATTTCTTACGTTCCTGAAGCTAAGGTTATCGAGAACCCATTTGGCTGGATCAGACCCTTCTGAAATCCTGGTTGAGCTGGTCAATCGAGCCCTTAAAACACCCGTAAACCCTGTGAAATCCATGAAACCCACAAGAACCCTTTGCAACCTTACAGCTTTTCTCAGAATAGATTAGCACCCTATACAACCCAGCAGCAACACCACACCTGCTGAACAACCACCACTGAGTTTTAACCCTAAATAATCCTAAGCCCTCAAGCCTCAACCCCACCCCCCTAAATCTTTAAATCCTAAACCCTGAGCCCCTAAAACCCCAAGCCTTAAAACCCAAAACCCTGAAACCCTGAAGCCCTAAACCCTGAAACCCTAAACCCTGACCCAGACCACCGGAAGGATCTAAAAAGTAGATCCCCTAATTTGGGACCCTATACTACTAAGGGGTACTTTAAAGGAACTCGCTCAGGGGATCTATTTTTTAGATCCTTCCGGTGGAAATTTTCAGTAAGCCCTTGCCAGGGAATCTCCGGCGACCAACTTCTTGGGCCCATTCAAGGCCGGCTCTGGGGCACTGCTTCGGGGCTTTGGTTCCGGGAATTTTAGGGTTTTAGGGTTTCAGGGTTTTCAGGGGGCTTTGGTTCCGGGATTTTAGGGTTTAGGGTTTTCTAGGGTTTTAGGGTTTAGGTTTAGGGTTGAGGGTGTAGGGTTTCAGGGTTTTAGAGTTTTAGGTTTGAGGGTTGAGGGTGTAGAGTTTAGGGTTCTTGGTTTGAGCTTGGGGTTTAGGTTGCAGGCTTTGAGTGTATGGCTTTGGAAATAGGGCTTGGGGTTTTCAGGTCTAGGGTTTAGTTAAACTTCTAGTCCTTGTGTATTGAAATTTTAATAACTTGTAGGTGCCTTACTCTACTTCTTAAGTGATAAGGGCCCATGCAACCCCGTGCCAAACATCCATGAATTCCTTACAAAGCCTACCTTCAAAGCCGCCACAAAGTCTTCAAAACGCTCAGCTCTGAACCCAGCATGAAGCCTAAACCCCCAATTCAGATTCGTAGTTCTCTAAATTAGGGTCCCTTTTTAAAGGGTTCTTCTTATAAGGGTGCCCTACTATGCTGGGGACGTAAAGCGACACTAATTTAGAGAACTACCCCCTCAACCCTAAAGGCCCTAAGCCCCAAGCCCTAAACCCTAAAGGCCCTAAACCCTAAACCCTAAACCGTAAAGGCCCTAAACCCTAAAGGCCCTAAGCCCTAAACCAGATAGTCAGCCTCCGAAGCGCCAGGGGAAGAGTCGCCTCGTGGGGGCGAGTTCATCCCTGGCGAGGCGGGACGAGATGGTTGAGTGAGGTCCTTGCAAGCCTGAAAGGGTTTATAGGAGGTGTTAGAGGGATTTCACGGGTGTTTTAAGGGGCGTAACAAGGGTTTAGCTTGTTTTTCATGTTTACCAGGTTTCGGGTCTTACGCTCTTTTAGGGATTAGGGCAATGGGTAAGCACAGGGCTTACGGGTCACGGGTTCAGGGAGCAGGACTGAGCGCTTGGTGAGGATGGCTTCGGCTTAAGGGCTCGGGAACAAGTGCTCAGGGTTTAGGTAAAAGGGTTTAGGGCTTTAGAAGAGTGGGGGTAAGGTGGATTTGCAGGCAGGTGAGTTTCAGGTTCCTTTTGTAGAGAAGCTCTTATTACTCTCAACGTTATTAGCGCTGTTGCTCTATTTCTGATTCAGATGACTACGACTGCTATTGTTATACTCTTCATACATTCGTAATAATCGGCATTTCTATGTTTCTTATGAATATGACTCCTATGAGCATCACGAGTACTTTGAGAAGAAGGGCCTGCGTGCTTTACTCCCCGAAGATCGCAGTTCGGGCCTAGTATAGGGGCCTTAAATAGTTAGAATAGGGTTGTGGGGCCCATTATACTATAATTATAATTCGGAACCCCCAAAACCCTATTCTAATTATTAAGGCCCCTCCATTAGATTCTCCACGGCCCCAGGCCGATAATTGTGTTTGCTGGGATCGTGTAGACTCGAACACACAGGTTCAGGGTTTAGGGTTTGGGGTTTATAAGGTGTGGGGTTTAGGGTTCAGGGTTTGGGGTTGAGGGCTTAGGGTGTGGTTTACATGGTGCTTGGACCCTTGAGCACTTCGTAGACACAGTGCTTCTATAAGCTGCTCATTTCTCCTAAGCAGGTCTGTCTTCATAAACAGGGGAGGGTGTTCATACGCACCTCCCACAAATCACGAACTTCATACGCAGAAGAAGCCAGAAATAAAAAAAAAACAAATTCAGGTCGTGTGGTATGCTACAGAAGCCTGGCATGCTCTTCCATGGAGGGTAGACAAAGATGCAGCGGCATTTACGGTAAGGTTTGTGCAATTGGCTCGTGCTCTCCGTTTTGATTGTGGGCGCGCGCGTGGCTGGGGTTAGACTAGCTGCTACTCATACGGCCACCAAGTGCTTGTAAACAGAAGGATATTGCTTGCAAGCAGAAGCAGTCCTTATATGCCGAAGGCCTGCTTATATGCAGCCGGACTGCTAATAAGCAGAACAGAAGATAGATTAGACAGTAGTCTTGTTTATGTAAACCCTAAACCCAAAAGGAAAGCCACAGCGTGATGTTGTGCGGGCGCGTCACCTGTGGCAAAAACCAAAGAAACCGAAGCAACCAAAGAAACCAAAAACACAAAAAAACAAAGAAACCAACACCACCCGTCATTTTCACACTAGTCGAAATTCTTCAGACTGACTAGTCCGGAAATCTTCGATTGTTTTGGGTTCTTGTATTTTTTGTTTCTTTGGTGTCTGTTTTTTTTGTTTTTTGGGGTTTTCTTGGTTTTGATAGTGAGGCTGGGGAAGTTTAGGGTCTTCGGACATTCTAGAGGGCCTTCCGTGCCTGCCGGGGAGCATGCAAAGCAATCCAAAGTGTGGTGTGCAAAAACCCAGGCCCATGGCAGTCCCTTCTGTAAGGGTTTAGTGTTTCCTAGGTAGGACTAGGGAGACCCCTTAAAGGGGACCCTTCTTAACCCTACTTGTGGCTCTCTTAAAAGGGACCTTATTGAGAGGGTCTATATCCCCAAGGGTCCCCTAATCCTAACTCCTAGTGTTTAGGGTTTGGGCAAACCCCCCCAAACCTAAAACATGGTAACTGTTCCTAAATCCCTATAGCTGAACCTAAACCCCTACAGCTGAACCCTAAGCTCGTAAACCTAAAACCCTAAGCTAGGCCCAACAATCAACATCCCGAATACCTAAATCCAAATCATAGCAGGCCGGACATTTAGCAATGGCATTCGTTTTTACTCGATGTATACTTTTACACTCCAAGACCTCCTTGGTCTACATACGGTTGAAGATATATACATCCTGCATTACCCACAATTACCATAATTTCCATAGTTAAGGGCCCTTGAGGTAATGCAGGATTTATACCATCAGCCGTAGTTATGAAGGGCTTTTGGACCTAAGCCCTAAACCCTGAACCCTAAGCCCAAACCTAAACGCTAAACTCTAAACCTGAAGCCCTAAACTCCACACCCTAGAGGCCCCTACTATTGATGATATAAGTCCTGCATTACCAAAAGGACTTTAAGCCATGGGAAATTATGGGATATTCCTTTTTATGAGTAATGCAGGGCTTATATCATCAACCGTACTTCACTCTAGACCCTAAACCCTAAACCCTAAAAGAAATCCTAAACCCTAAACCCTAAGCCCTAAACCCTAAAGCGCCTATATCATCAACCATATGTTACCTTCTCCGGGCCTCCTGGTCTTCCAGGAACGGAGCTATCACAGGAGCTGCCAGTCACTGCTCTGAGGGCTCCAGGGTTCCAAAGTAAATCCGAAAACCCTTAAACTGTTAAGCCCTCAGGTCCTAAAACCGTAAACCGGGGCTAGGGGTTTAGGGCTTAGAGTTTAGGGCGCTGCAAAGTTCCTATGTCATTCCTTAAGGGTTTAGGGTCGAGGCCTGTGGGTTT